GAATTCTCAATAAAAATTTTATGTAAATATAATTTTGCTTGAGTGCCATTGCGATCACTTGCTAATCACATCGGAATGACGCTTGAGAGCACCCTTTAAATCAGCTGCATCCATAGGCAGAAAGTTATCCCGATTTTTAAGTGTTATGCCGAATTGATAAATGTTAACACTTTGGCCCTAAATCAAGCACTCTGTAAGTCTTCAGGTCCTGATTAACATTGTCAAATGCTCTTTAATAAATAATTCAAGCATTTCATCAGGAAACTTTGGGGTCTGGTTTCGAGAAATCTTTTTTAGAATATCATGAATCATCAATCCTTCTTGTTTTAGGACCTTTTTTAATACTTTGTCTATTTCCCATTCGTCATACGCCTTTCTATCTATAGAGTAAAGAGAATACATAAGTATCATATTATCCAGCTTTAATTTTCAACATCATCATCATGTATATTATAAATTTTACACTCGAAAAAGTATTAAAGCTTGCCTAATTAAAGAATTCAAACTTTGATTCAATGGTATCAGCCAGAGCCCGCTAGAATGCAGAAACCAGAAATTAAAGCATGGCGTTGGAAAATTGATGTAAAACATAACTGTAAAAAGCAAGATGAGTTAAAATATAGCAAGTATTTGAAAAAAAAATAAACTATTAAAGTATGATTTTTTAACCAGTGAAACTTACTATTACAATTTGATTTAAAGAGCAAGTACTGTACAACAATAGGAAATTCTGAAGTTCTTTAAGTGATGTAGTTACAAGAAGGGGCTCCATTAAATTATTGCTGGAAAATAACTCTTTCTTCTGATATATCATCCTTGAGATTGAATGTTTGACAAATAATAGGCAAAGGTCATATAAATCTGAAACCAGAAATAAAGAGATTTTCAATTTTGTTGCACATTCTTTTCCTTCAAGACGAACCCATTTTATTGTTGTTAGACATATTTGTGGCTGCAAAAAGCAAAAAAAAAGATTGGTTTATCGCACAGGAGATTTTTATGAAAGGGGCTTTACCGGTAATACAAACATCTTAATAATTTTGCGACTCAACTATCACTAAGCCGCAACTAAAAATTGGGTTTGTTGGTTGATTACTCTCAAATCATAATCACCTGTATTTTGTATCCGCCCCAGCTCGTGATCTGGGCACTGACCTGGACCCTACGAGGTGCTTAGCTAAACTATCTATTCGATCTGTTGGCTGTACGTACGTACGTACATATGTACGCAACGGTCAACAACAATCGACGTAGCGAAATGACAAATTTGAGTGAAAATATCATGACAACCACTAAGTTATCAAATTTAGCTTGGTAGTTGTCGAGGTATCTTCGCTCAAAGTTTGAAAAAAAATCAAAATGTCTATTAAATATAAGCTGCATCAAAATTTTTCTAACTTTAAATGACGATATCTCGACAACCATCAAGTCAACTTTTGATGAAGTTTTTTTTTTTCATTGAATTCTACAAATTCATAGAATTCAAATAAAAAAAAGATATCAAATTTGGTTTAGCGATCGTTGACTCTATAAAAAAAAGCTTGTACAGTTATTGTCCAAAAAAATGGTTTGAACGGAGTCGATTTTCCCAGATGTAAGTACGGTATTGTACAATTTTTATACCGTGACGTAAAAAATCAAATTTAATAAAAAATTTTTTAAATTAATTCTACAAGTTTGTAAGATTATTAGAAAAAATTTTATTAACTTTAGTCAGGGTTTTTTTAAGTTATTCTTGTTAAAATAATAAAAAATTTGCTTGATTTATAGACTCATTCCATATTTTCGGCCATTCAGAACATTTTTTTGAACAAAAACATAACAATTTTAGAACATAGTCGACAAAATTTTTTCATAGAGTGAGATATCTTCGTTCAAAGATAGAAAAATTATGGTGCAGCTTCTTTCTATCTGATAGACGATTTAAATTTTTTTCAGACTTTGAGCAAAGATATATTGACAACTACCTATTCAAATTCGATGTACTTATTTTGAATTCTACAGGTCAATAGAATTCAAATAAAAAAGATCCATCGAGAATTAGCTTAGTGCTTGTCGTGATTTCTGTATCGGTATGTTTTCCCTAATTTTGAATATTGCGTTTTTTTTGGGCAGACAATGCCCAATATTTATAATTTAAATAAAATTGACTATATGAAATATTTAATAAAATTAAACAATTATGAGATGAGAAAGACCGATAAAAGTCGAAAAATATAAAATTATAATATCTGAAAAATTATATTTTCATGATAATGCCTTCAATAATGATGTGAAATAGAAGGAATAATTTCGGAACAGAAAGTAATGTATTAGAAAATACAATTTGTAAGGACACCATGCTGACTTCTTTGAGTCGCCAATACAATGATCTTGGATTAGATTTTTCTAGAAAAAGCACTAGCTGATGCACTTTGCAAGAACAACACGTTGACTTCTTTGAATCTTAATAGTAATAAGCTTAGATTAGAAGGAGGAAAAGCATTAGCGGATGCACTTTGCAAGAACATCATGTTGGCTTCTTTGAATCTTTGTGAGAATAAACTTGGTTCAAAAAAAGGAAAAACATTAGCAGATGTACTTTATAAGAATAATTTTTTTAAATCTGAGTAATAATAAACTCGGATCAGAAGTAGGAAAAGTATTAGCTGATGCACTTTGCAAGAATGTCACATTGAAGGATTTGGTAATAGTCTTGGAAACGCGTTAACAGATGCGATTTGCAAAAACACCACATTGACATCTTTAAAATTTAATTTTATAATAATTAAATAGAAAAATGTTATATGGTGCACTCATGCGATTTGGTGCACCCTTAATGGCAGCCAAATAAGTATAATATTAGGACAAAGATAAACATTAGGGTTAGGATTAAAGTAGAAGTTATATAACAGGAGTTGCCCTAGTAAATTTTCGAGATATATACTATTTAATTATTTTAAACAGGTTGTCATTATGTTATTAAAATATTATTTTAATAAAAATAAGTTTCTAATATAACATTATATTAAAACTATTAATTTTATTATATTTCAACTCTTTCTATAACGAACTGGTTATAAAAAAAAGTTCACTATATAAAATTATTATACAGTAAACTCTCTTTATAACGAACCTCTCTATAACGAATTCTAGATATAATGAACTAAAAGTTTTAAATTTCATATATAATAAGTGACAATAACTATAACTTATGATCGATTGGACACCGAAACCCGAAACCTCTCCGAACCTTAAAATTAGAAAGTTAATAACTAATGCACATTTACTATAAAGTAACCAAAATATTTCTGAAATGCAATCTAATTATCATGTACTTTATGTCTTAAAGTCTGAAATTAAAATTCTAACTCTTTTAGTATAAAGTTTCGGAAAAGGTTTCGGGGTTTTCGGAAAGGGTTTTGGGATTTTATATATAGTTTCGGGTTTCGTTACCCAACTCTAGATTGGACTAAATAGTAATTTGAAAAATTTTATCCTACACTCGGAATCCAAGCTAAATTTATATACTACCTATATATATTTAATAACTACAATTGGAAGATATTGATAATTTGAAAAATTTCCTTTGTTCCGGAAATTAATAATGAAAATAATAGATAAGCATTGCATATACTAGTGTACCGATTTTTATCTATAATGAGTAGTTAGATTGAGATTGTAGCTTACAATTGATCAGATTTATATCACAACCATAATCATATCTTGTTATACTAAACTGTAATTAATGATGGCTGATAAAAATATTTTTAAAGTGACGGAAGATTTCATAATGTATTCGTCTGACTAAACGATTAAACTCCCGACAATCGAGGAAACTCTTGACAAGCCAATTCAAATATTAAATTATTCATTCAATGGGCTTTTTTGTAATGAGCTCTAAATTTGCTGAATTTTTAAAATTCTTTATACCAGTAAATCTACTAAACTTTTTAAGGTTTTAAGTAATCTTGTAATTGATAAAATTTTTTTTTCAAATCATCAATTCGTTATAAAAAAATCAATACTCAAAACAAGCTCATACGATAGTTAATTTTTAATTTTACATTGCATCAAATCTGATATCAGCAATTTTTTTTTTTTTTGGTTAGTTCCATCACCTTGAGGTTAAAAACTTTCATTATGTCGAATAAGTTGGCAGAAAAAGAAGAGGAAAGATTAGAAAATGGATAGGTAGGAAATATAAACAAAAAAATTAACACCATTAAACTGTCTATATTGCTATATTGTGAAAGAGAAAGCGTAAAAACCTTATGCCTTATCGTTCGTTATAGGTTTGTCATTCATAATAGGTTTCGTCATTTGTCAATTAGTCGGTCAAAAATTTCTTAATGAAAGAGTTTGCCATTCGCCAAGTATCATTAACTGTAACTAAGAAGGATCAAGTTTAATATAAGGGACCCTACTCTAAATTCAATTGATTAATAATCAATTTTCTTAGCGGTCTTTATACTAAACTTGATCCAAGAATTGATCAATAATTTTATCCACTAAATTTACGCGAATATAATGAATTTAAAGATGACTAAAGAAAGATAAATTCTATAATTTGAAACTTACTTTAAATATATCAATATATATCAACTATATAATAATATTTATACTAACGATTAAATTATTTAATAAATTAGTTCAATGTATATTATTACAGTATTGATTATAGTTTTTTGGTTATAGTTTGTCATAGTTTTTTTCATTTAAACTAATCGATCATTATAAATGATTAACGTTACGTATTAATAATAAACTTCTGGCTTACTAGTTTGATTAAATAAAATTTTTAGCAAATAAATAAACCTTTATCGGCTTAGTTAATTGATTAAAAAAAGGTTTAATCAGGTATAACGTGAAAATTGCGTTTTTTATTTGTCTATGAAAAAAAACAAAAATTTTCCTTGCGAAATATTGACGTAATATGAGTCCTATTTCGGTCATTACCCTAAGGTTCTATTTATTACTTTAAAAATTACACATATTCGACTTGATTAGAGTATATCATCCTATTAATAGCGATAGTAAATTTGTCTACTTAGTCGAGTTTGATTTTTAAGTACTGTATCTAACAGTACAAAGTGTATAATTATTAAATTTAGGGGGTTTTGAAACTTAACTTATTTAGCCGTTAATCACGACTTACATGATTGGGTATTTGAAACAAACAAGTTTTTATCGGATCGAGCTTGCTAGCTTACAAGTCAATAAAATGGGTTGAAATATTCAATTGTAGTCATAATCACGTCATATATGTGCAAAAGCTTGTTTCATTTTCATTATGTTTCCAGTATTTTTTTTCTACTTAATCATTCACAATTAAAAAAAAAAAAAAAGTATTGTATCAAAACTTGACGGATTACAGGATTAAGAAATAACCAAACTGAACCTGTTTGCATCGCGATATTACT